GTGGAATCTGGCGTGAGGCAATGTGAGAGGGTAGGAAGAACATTTGGGCTTTGGAGCCAGAGGACCTGGGTTTGAATCCTGGGTTCCACCCCTTACTAATTATAAGGCAATTCACTTTATTTCTCTGGGCCTGTTGGAAGTATTAAATAGTTGGACTATACATAGCCCAGAGTCTCTTACTTCCCTGTTAGATGGTTCTTCTGTTTGATCAAATCATTTCTCCACCTGGCTAATGGGTTCAAGTAACTCAGTCTCTCTGTGTGTCTGTCTCCCTCCATCTCTCTCATTCCACCTATCATAGATAGCTAGATAGATAGATGTATACACACATATACACAGGTATATACTTACTAGCAGTGTGACCCTGGGCAAATTCCTTAACCTAGGTTTGTTTTAATCCACTGGAGAAGGAAATGGCAGACCACTCCAGTGTCTTTGTCAAGAAAACTCCATGGAGAGTATTGGCATGCTCTGGTCCATGGGGTCCCAAAGAGTTGGACTTGACTGTGAATGACTGAATAGCAACTGGCATTGGGTCCCAATTAGTACAGATTTTTAGTATCCACTATACTGTGTTTTGTACAGTGTCAGGTATACTATTGATTCTCTCAAGGTTTTCCTGATATTTCTCTCCTCCTACTTATCTATCTGAGTATTTCTTCTCAGTATCCTTTGCTGAATTTTTTTTATTCAGGCCACACTTACTAACCTTGGGTTATTACCCTAGAGACTATCCTTGGTGCCCTCTCTCCCTCTACACTCTCTAGATCACTTAGTGCTCTCGTCAACACACTGATGGATTCAATTATTATCTCTATCTAGTTGATTCTGAGATCTATTCCTCTAGCCCCAACTTTTCTCCTTAGCTCCAGGCTTCAGTCTCAAACTAGATGTACTATAAATGTCTCAAACTCTACAAGTCCAAAAGGGAATTCATTATCTCTCCCCTCAATGTCTCCCCTCTTTTGAATTTCCCTATTATTGTGGAAGGCACCACCATTCTCCCAGTAATTATATAGGTGTGCAACCTTGGGCAACTTAATACCTCACTCTGCCACTCCCCTCCCCCATATCCAATCTATTATTGAGTCTTGTCAATTCTAGCTTTATGGCATCTCTCATGTGTGCCTCCTTTTCTCCATTCGTGCAACTGCAATCCCACTGCAGAACCTGATTACCTCACTTATGGACTAATGCAATAGTCTGCTAGTTGTTTTCCCTGCCTCAAGCCTCTCCTCATTCCAGTCTATCCTCCTGTCACCTGTCAAGGTGATGTTAGATCTGACCATTCTACTCTCCCCACTTAATAAATAAACTTTATTGGCTTTCTGTTACTTCCAGACTCAAATATAAAAATCTCTGGTACTTAATCATGCTTGGCACAGTACATTCGTTGCATGCAGTAAGTACATAATTATGATGAAAGAGTACACAAGTATAGTGACAGTGACAATTATCATTTCTTCTGATGTTGGAGGCTCAGTTATCATGAATTTCTCAGTTTAAGATCCTCAGGACACCAGTGGGTTTCTCAAGTTTTCCTTTTGTTTTAGAAATAATAATGGTAGAAATAATTTAAGTTATCTCGCTTTCGCAGAGCTTGAGGTAGGAAAAGATGAGGAAAAAAAACCTGAAATAAGCCTGGGTGAAGTCCTTGCCAAACTTTGGGATTACAGGATCTTAAGACCATAGGTTATAGGATCATAGACTTAATTAACATCATAGATATGTAGATAGATAGATAGATAGATAGATAGATAGATAGATAGATAGATAGATAGATAGATATAGAGGGAGAGAAGAGAGAGAGTAGGAAAGTGGATGAGAGGAAAAAAAGTAGAAGGGATGATTGAGACGTTTGCATCCATCTAGAAAGAGGGTAGCATTGAAGGTATTTCCTTCCACATTCTGAAATCCTCCCATGAAAAAGAGAGCAGTACCCATCCCTCAGTTGTGGAAATAGGAGGACCAGGCCATGTGACTTCATGTTTTCCGTATCATCTTTGTTTTACTTATTCCTCTTCTGATTCTCAGTTTGATTCTTGAATAGAGGGGGTTTGTGTAGAAATTGCATGTATTTGGTATGTAGCGTCTGTTTTCCTTGTGTATTTTTAGCTCATAATTAAATACAAACAAGCACAGCATAATACAGGGCATTTGTAGACTAGACTATAGATGACTTTAAAATTCATCTTGAACTTGCAAAGGATGATCATTTTGCAGGAAAAATGACATAGAAATTAAAGTTATTTGTAGAAATCATTCTCTTGAATTTTATTAACCACAGTTTTCAATGTTTTAATTTTACATTTGGGAGAGGAGAAAGACTGTACCTAGTAGGAAGTTGGTTTTTATTCAGACTTTTTTTTTCTCCTTCCCTAGTACCTCTTCAGACTGTTATGGGAACTTAGTGAAGAAATATTATTGGGTGGGTTGTTGTTGGGTTTTTTTTAATTTGTAAAATAAAATAAATAAAAACCTTTTCATGGTAAATGTTATTAGACAGAAAAGCAAGGGTGTAATAAAATGTCAAAATAAAAAGTTATCATACAACATATTCTTTATTTAAAATGGTAAAAATTGTATGTTCTAGAAATCAGATAATTGTGAAAGATAGTACGTTTTCATTTTTATGTTAAAAGTGGTCTACTTTTTGCTACCAAATAGAAAACTGCACTCCAGTGAAAAAAGCTTCAGATAAGTTTGTGTCAAGAAACTGAAAAGTAAAACTAGGTAAAATTAAAATCACTCAGCTAGAATTCTAGAGACCTAGAAATCTCATATATAATCTGTTCCTCTGCCTTTTTCCAACAAATAAAATGTTAAACCAGAGGTTTTTATCCTGGGGACTATGCATTTCAATATAATTGGTTTCTTTTATAATCCTATGTATTTTATGAATTTAAAAAGATTTTATTCTGAGAAAAGAGTCCATGCTGCCAAAGGGATGCCATGACACAACCAAACCCTGGTCTAAACCATCCAGTCACAATCACTATTGACTTTCTCTTTGAAGACCTGCAGGGGTTAAGGTTCTATTACCTTCCCTGGAATCTCAGCCCAATGGTTTATAATCCTGAGCGTCTGGATCTTTCCTGTGTCCAATGGAAAGAAGTTCTATCAGGTACTTCCAAAAGTAAAGCGCTCTATAAATGCATCACCTCAAATGTTTTCTTGTCTTTCGTATCCTTAGAGAAACACCGCTCAGCAACCTTCTTCCTGAATTTAAAAACATCTGTCTTTTAGCTTTTTCATTATTGTGAAAGGGCCTATTTTTCCCTGTATCTTGTTGGTTTTCTTTACAATTGCTAACTCATTCAGCTTGTGATCAGCTATTACCTATCATGACCCTTACATCCCTTTTAAAGTAAATAAATATCTATGCCTACCCTCTTAAAATGGGCTTCTCTCATCTTTCAGAATTACCCTCCTTGTCTTGTGAATCACAGTTTCCTGAAATGTGGGGCTGATGTAGTGCCACTGAATCTTTGCCAAAAGTCACTGAGTGTTTTTGGCAGGCAGGTTTTTACCCATTGCTTCTGTGGATAGCCAGTCACCTACTTTTAAAAGTTTTTTGACATTCATTATTAAAAATCGTCTTTTGCTTTTTTGTGTCACATTTTTTCTTTTGCCTTCCTCCACATTGAATCCAGCCTTGCCTGTCAATCAACAAACATTTTTTAAGCACCTACTGTGTGCCAGGCACTGTGCTAAGTGCCAAAGACACAAAGAAAGGCAAACAATAGTCCTTGCTCTCAAAGAGTTCACAATCTAATGGGGGAGACAACATACAAACAAGGTATATGTACGTATCTCTACACATATATACATATATGATCAATTTGAGGAGAAATAGTAGAGGGAAGATGCTAAGATCAAGTAGCAAGGAAGAATGTTAAATTTACTGGACTGACAGCCTATATAAGAGTCTTTCTATAGTGTTCCACCCCTCTGCTGAGAGGCACCTCCTTTAAGGAAAAAAAATATAATTTAGGATAGAAGGCAGTAGCTTACTTAGGATCTGTGATCAAAAATGCATTTATGATCATGGCTTTGGAGCAGCTGCACCATCAATCAATTTGATCTTGAGTTAGTGGCTTAAGGTCCCTTCTTTAATTTAGTTATCCACAGGAATGGTATGGAGACTTATTATAATGATACGAGAGGTCAATTTTTTTATGACAATCATTTCTAGCTGTGAAACACAAACTTCAGACAAAAGCCAAGCTCTTTTGCCAGTATTGATATACGTTGGTTTTACATAGTCTCCATTTCTGAATGTATCCCTTCATTCTCTCTTATTCTGTGAAACTATCATTTTTAACAAAGAATGTTTTTAAAAAGAGAAAATGCAGCTCAGCTAAACAAAACAACATATGAGCACCCACCCTCCCCATACATGGATGTACCAACATCATTTCCAACTCAGTCTGTCTTTGCAAGGGTTTAAATCACATTTCCTTTGTTTCATAGACAGAAATTTGGGGTAGCAATGGGAATTGCAGGGTGCAGTAAACTTACTGTCTGGCCTCCAATGCCCTCGTATGCAAACATTTGATTATACAGTAACTTTGTTGTGCACACTACCTGGCTCTCCTAGTCTCCACTACCACTCATAAATCTTCCTACCTTTGTGCACATCTAGTCTTCCTTTCAAAAGAAAATCAGGCTGGAAAAGTTTGTTAGATTATCCCAAAGTACTGGGATTCTTTTTGGAGGTGTGGATTATGGGAATGGGGAGTTGGGGGTCACATAGCTTCATGGACGGTATGGTGTTTTCTCAGTGTTTTGATTTTCACTATTAGTCATCACAGTCAAGCTGATAGACCAAGACTAGGAATCCAAACCCAGGCAATGTAGTGTATTTATTTGGGGGAAATAGGTGAGTTCTGCAGACTAAGAATCTAAATCAAAGGAATTATCTCTCAACTTTGTGTTGACAGTATTGATATGCTTAGGGGGAGGCATATTTGCTCATGAGCCCATGTTTTCTGTTCCAGGAATCATTAACCAGTGGCAGCAGGAATCCAAGGATAAAGTGATTTCCCTTTTATTAACTCACCTGCCTTTGCTGAAGCCAGGAAACATTGAAGCAAAAGTGGAGTACATGAAACTGTTGCCTAAAATCCTGGCTCACTCCATTGAACACAACCAGCATATAGAAGAAAGCAGGCAACTCCTGTCTTATGCTTTGATCCACCCGGCCACTTCACTAGAAGATCGGAGTGCTTTAGCCATGTGGTTGAATCACTTAGAGGACCGCACATCAGGGAGTTTCAGCAGTCAGAACAGAGGTCGGTCTGATTCTGTGGATTATGGGCAGACACACTATTATCACCAAAGACAAAACTCTGATGACAAGCTCAATGGATGGCAGAACTCTCGGGATTCTGGGATATGCATCAGTGCCTCCAACTGGCAGGACAAAAACCTGGGCTGCGAGAATGGCCACCTGCCCCTGTACTCTTCATCTTCAGTCCCCACCACAATCAATACCATTGGGACTAGTAGCAGCAGCACAAGTGAGTAGTACCCTTAATTTTGTTTTCATGGTTCTCATGATCTGGTTTGGGCAGTTTGCTGTGGCATGTTCCCTTTGAAAATGTCTACTAGCTGCATTCTGTAACCTTAGGAAGAGAAGGGCTGATGGTTTTAAATTGGTTGTAGAAAATGGCCCTGGGGACTTGTGTAATTCTTGCTTATTTTGACTATTCTGTAGTGTGAAGACACCAGGCTGCTAGAAATGATTAATGGATGAAAATTACCTTTAAAATGAAAAAAAAAATAAGTTCCTGCTTCAAAGTACCTTTCACCCTGGTGGTTTTGGACTTTCTTTGACACTGATTTCCCATGTTATTATCTCAACCTAACTTCTAACCTGTGGATTAACCCAGCCAGACTCTTGGGCTCTTTGTACATTTCTTGTCTTATTTCACACCTGGATTGTTTCCTTCTCTGAATTTCCTGTCATTAATTTCCAGTTATTGGAGCTGTCTCCCTCCTGGCTGGGGAGGAGAGACAGGTTTGTTAACTCAGAATGCTTCTCTGTGCTGTGGCTTGGTATGAATGCTGTGGAAATCCTCCTTGTTCTTAACCTATTTTATGAGTAGTGGGAGTTGGGAATTACAATGAAGAAGATACATATCACTTGGTGGGGGGAGGAGGGGAGGGTAAGTTGAGAGGAAGACAATAAATGCTCTTCCACTCCATGAACCATACTAAGTATAGGAGCAAAGGAACATTCACCCTATTCTAGAATAGGACAGTAAATACTTAGCCCTAGTGTTCCTTTCTTAGGGTGGGTGACTGCAGTGATAAGCACTGTATTCATCCCAATGGAGTTCAAATGTACAACCACAGTCACTCTCCATCCTTCTTCAAACAGCTGTCTATGCAGTCTAAGTTGCCAAGTGTCTGTGAACATACATAGCATTAAATGCGTAGAGAGAGCTTTTTAAAGGGGAAAGCTTTTTGTGGTAAGATGTTATGTGCCTGTTGACATGCAAGAACCCACAATTAAAAGATAGAAAAGTATTAACAATTGTTATTGAATGCTTCTTGGCCTCTTAAAGGTTTGCTTGGACTAATATGTCTTCTAAAAATGCCTTTAAAAATCCACCAGCATATTAAAAGGTAACTTTGCTATATTAATTGACATAGTTATTTAGCAGAATAATCAAGGTTGCACTTCAGGTCCTAAATTAATCTAACTAGAAGCTGGGTCCTCTAGTAGGTTCTTTTATTATTTTTAATTACATAGTATCAAAATTAAGTTATTATAACTTAGCTTTTTACTGAAGAGAATTTTATTGAATTCTTTCTTTCACAAACTTGGTAATAATCTAGCTGTACATTGTTTTCTTGAGGCCCTGGCATAATAGAATGTGATAGGGTACATCCAAAGTTGGGGGGACAGAGTCCTCCTCATTAGAGCTTCCTATGTTAAGCCATGGGATTTTGTGATTACTATAGAATTTATCAAGAGCTATGAAAGATTTGGAACTCCATTCTACTCCCTTCTCCCAATAGCCACACTGAAACCAAAACTTTTCTTGTGTTACTCCATCTCTGGTCCTCTTCAGGGACGAAAGATGAACAACCACATCTCTGTCTCTAATAAATAAAACATCTGGGGATTATTTGACAGGAGAAATTTAACCTTGGTGAACAGGGAACTTGCAATTCAGTTAGGGTTATCAGATTTTAGTAGACTGGTGTTTTGCCAGGGCCACCCAAACACACTGATGGAATTAAATGAAGAGACAATTTACATTATTTCCCAGCTGCTTTTGAGGCCTTGTATATTATTGGGCTGACATGTATTCAGTAGCCTTACAGAAGAATGGGATTGTGCCTCTTCAGAGGGTGAACAGGGTAGCAGTAGAGCTTGTAACCTTATCCTTGGGCAGCCACACACCCCAGAAAGCTTCCTATCATCACCTTCTCCAACAAGTTTCATTCATAGACATTGTATCGACAGTAGTGACTCTGTAGTGATACCCAAGCTCTAATTTTGCTAAAACTAGATTCCCCAGAAGATCAATGATGTTGTCTAATTGAGCCCTCTCTCCAGGGTTGCTATTTGCATCCTCTATACAACTTATATAAGTTGTCATGGTACAAAAAATCATTACCAGTTGGCCCACCTTCTAGTGATGAGTTTCTTAGAAAAAAAAAAAAGGCAGGTTGATCCTCCTAGGAAAGATACAGAATCTATTGTTGGGCTTTTACTAGAAGCCTTTTCAGCATGGTATTAGACATTTCAGAGCTCTGGGCACTAATCCCTTCAAGAACTCAGGACACAGCAGTAACTCATGCAAAGCAAACTGGCTTTTAATACGGGGCACTAATAATTTGGGTACTACAGACAGGGGTGAGACACATTTCCTCTGTAAAGTATGCTTCCCCTTCTGGAAGGCATACTTCTTTCCTGCAACAAACCCATCTTTCACTCCGTTCTCTGGAAATGTGCCTTACAATTACACCCGTATTGCCATTTGTAAGGTTCTGTTGCTATGGTGTCCTTCTCTCCGATCCCACAGGGCCAAGAATTGGATTCTGCAGGGATTGATTGCCTGGCCCTTCTACTGGCATGACTGCCACTTATCCACCCTGTGGCTCTCCTAAACTGTTTTTGCCACAGGTGAAAGAATTTGTGACCCAGAGAATCAGGTCCATGTGAAGCAGTAACAATTGAATGTAGGTTTAGGCAAATAGCATTACTTTTATCTGCTGAAGTGTGGCTATCCATATCTTACTCATGTTAACTGTAAACATTGCACAAATGTATATAATCCAAGCGCGTAGACTTGGCTGAAGAAAACAGGATAAATGATCGTTAAAAATTTTAGTCATCATGCCATCGACAATTTAGAAAAATATTCTTTAGTAATTTTGTTATTTACTGTAAAATGCAGGTATGCTTAGGACAATGTGACACAGAAAATGACAGTGTGTGTGTATGTATTTTCTCTGAAGACATTCTTCTAATGGTCAAAACTGATTATAAGGTTGCTGTTTGTAAAGCTATCTTCTTCAGGGAAGGAGTAATGTAATAATTTAACTGATATTCACCATACAGTGCTTTTTTCCTGAAGGAGGAAAAAAAACCCAACTAATTGTATTAATGCCCCCAAAGCCTCTCAAGTGATATTGTAGATTTACATTTTGGCTCTCATCTTTTTCCAAATGTAAAAGAATGTTGTCAGTGCCGTATAAAAAGCAAAATGATTACAGGTAAAAATAGCTTAGGGCCCAATGCTTGTCCCATTTTTTCAGTGTTAGATACACTAGTGAGTTAGATACACACTGAGTTAAGAATCCTTCCCTTTTTCTATATTAGTTCTTTCTACCGGTCGTTTATTTTTCTAGTTGTTACACTCTGACACTGTTACTCTGCCATATATCCTTTTACCCTGCGTTGCCCTCCATTCATTCATTCATTGGTTTATTCCATAGATATTTACTGAGCACCTACTATATGGAGATACAAAGAAGTATAACACGTGGTTTGCCTGCCCTCCAGGAACTTAAATCTATTTCAGAGACAAGCTATGTACATATAAAAAGTTAAATAAAGGAATGAGTTATATAATACAAGGCAGCAATACCACAAGATGCCAAAACACACTGTAATGATTAAGTGCCAAATCAATAATAGAGAGTAAATGCTGTGAGATCAGAGGTAGGAGAGAGACCTGTGGGTTCAAGTGATTCATTGAAGATTGTTTGGTAAAGGTTGGATTTCAGCAGAGCTGATGTTTAAGATTCACCTCGGCAGAGAGTATAGGAATGCTGATGGAAACGTGTATGGTGTGTTTAGGCAGCAATGTGTATGCTGGCCTGAACAAAGCACAGATTTCATAAAGCTGAGGAGTTAATACCTGCACACCCTGAATTAAACAGTTGTTGTAAGGTTCAAATGAGATAATGCGTGCCTAGCACTTTGTAAACTACACATGTCAGTTATTATTTTTCTGGGACTGCTAAACTCTTGCTTGAAAGGTACTTGTCATCCTTCCTGAAGCACCATAACATACAAAGAATGCAAATGTATTAAAGTAGCTACTTAGCATTAAATAGCCTGCATTTATATAGAGCTTTAAGGTTTGCAAAGAGCTTTACAAATACTATCTCTTCTGACCCTTCTAAATAAGGAAATTCTCTTCTGCACACTCCCCCTTCCCAAAACAAATCATGGACACTGGCCATTCAAGGTTTGGGGCTCTGTTAAAAACTTTTAAAGTATCCCCAAAGGATGTCTCTGGAGAAGGCATACAAGAAAGTCAAAATATAAGACCAAGCATAATGGAACAGTAGAGGCAATAAGGACAGGAAATAGATTAAAGTCTGATTCAGAAAGACTTAGAATACCAAGCTAAGGAGTTTGGTATTATCCTATTGTTGGTAATGGTAAAACTCTGAATGTTTTTTAATTGAGAGCTGACATGATGGAAAGCTATTTCTAAGGGATATTAGCAGGATGAACTGCAACAGAGACTAGACTCAGGGAGGTCAGCTAGAAAACTGCATAATCCAGGCAAGATGTGATGTACCAGGATGGGAATGGACTCTTAGAGTGCAAGGCCTGAAAGAGGCCTTAATCCAACCTCTTCCTGGTACAGATGAGAAACTTGAGGGTCATTGAAGTCAGGTATCTTGCCCAAAGTCACACAGCTAGTTAACAGAAGAGCTAGTATTAGAAACTAGATTTCAGAGTCCCAGTCTAGCACTGTATTCATGGCTCCGGGAGAGGAAGGGAAATTCAAGAAGAAATTCCTAAGAATAGACAGGATTAATGAGTCACTTCAATTCAACAGACTTTTGTTAAGTGCCTACTATGTGCCTCTACACTGTACTAGGCTCTTGGGAGAGTTTATTAATAATTCAGATGGAGCTAAGACTTTTTGGTTTTTTGTTGTGGTTCTGTCATTTTTTCAGTCATGTCTGACTTTTTGTGTCCCTATTTGGAGTTTTCTTGGCAAATATAGTGGAGTGGTTTGTCATTTCCTTCTCCAGCTCA